AATCCATTTTGTCCGTAGTGAACCGCTCTTATTCGTCGTAGTCCATATTTGCGAGTCGCGGATTTGGAGTATATGGCATACCCCTTGTACAGAATTTAGGCGTGGTAACCCGAAGATCCGTGTCTTTTAGGACCTGCTCTAAAAGTGCGCGTTCTTAGCGGATGCTCTCGAAGCGTGCCAGCAGTCGTGTTGCACACGTTTCGAAGGCAGCTGGAAATCGTGCCCGAAATGAATTCCCGCCAGAAACGACAAATCCAGGCTGGCGAAAAGTAAATACACGACTTTATCATATTCGGGCAGATTCGTCAATGCCGTGGCAAAAACAGCGAGCCCTCGTTTTCCAGGCTCGCTACCCCCTACAGATTGCCCTGCTACGAGTATAGCCCGTACGGATTCGGGAAAAAAAAAGTTACTCGTTATGATGAGGAATCGCGCGAATGGCTTTCCGTAAGTTGGACGAATTCGAAAAAAATAAACCGCACTGCAAAAAACAGAATCACTTGAAAAGCTACTCGTAATTTCTCGACATTCAGGGTAATTGCCCTATTAGCAAGTGGCCTGGATTTGAGGGCTGGAATCAGTTAAAGCATGTCGCGCTTGTTTGTGTGCTGTTCGTATTGAACGTTTTATTAGTTTTTTCTCACGTTCTAGAACGGTTCTCGTGCCTAACCGTCACCTCCCACCAGCCTGAACTGCACGAAGCACACCTTGAGAACGTCACATGAATGGGCAAGTTTGCCATGGTGAAACGCATACAACCGTTCTGATACCCTCTTAAACTCCTTCCACCCTTTCCACATTCGTCCCTCAGGCTCGATTCGATAGTCCCCAATGCGCCGCGGTTTGAGATTCGAGATTCGCGAGCCACATGAGGATGGTGGGCAGGGGGGAATAACAGTGTAGTACTGTAGTTTGCGATGGGCTGATCAGCTATTGCGAAAGGCAGGCACGACACTTCGTATGTGGCATCGAGTCGCATTCTGTAAACAGTAGTAAATCCTTGACACACTCGCCAGGGGCATTCGAGGCACTCGGCGCAAGGATTTGAGAAATGCACGGAGATGTCCTTTGAGAGAAAGTGATAGACATGAAGTCCTTCGCAGACCCAGTTTCTATTCTGGCGGGTGCTTCAGAATCTAGCACTCAACTTTCATGGGCGATTTGGGCCAATAAAGACTAGTCTGGCTACTCTGTTGGCATTTTCCAGTCTAAAGCGGGTGATCATTGTTATTTGTTTTGCATTCCTAGGCCCGTCTGTAGGTTCGGAGGTACAAGGGGTATGCCATTAGGTCCACGACATTTTACTCCACGTAATACTCCAAGGTCCGGAATTCGATAAGATCGGCAACGATGTACTCCGTCTGTACGGTATACATCTACTGTTGACTTCGCTAAAAAAGAGCAAAAAAACATTGTGACCAATCACGATAGTCGCATAATGCCACCGACCATCGAGTCGCGCCACCCGAATTGGGTGCGATCCCAGCATGCGAGTGTCGCCAACCAACCCGCGAGTGCGAGCTCGGAAATTTCTCGTGAACTGTGCTTGGAATTGCCCGGCCAATACGCGCTTGCCAGGGCGATCAGACGTAATGACGACGGACCAGGGGGCGACAGCCAACTAGTCCCCCGGTCCACCTGGCACTTTTGTATGCGCGCTGACCTGGGCATGAATCCGTACCCCCTTTCCATCCATTCTGTCTTATTATTTCGGTCCTATTCTAATCCTCGTGTCAAGAACATGCGAGGCGTTTTCCATATTTTATAACCAATGATATAAATATTCAGGCTTTCCGCGTGACACGAGCAGGTCCGTCCCGAATACGAAAATACGACCCACGGTCCCTCAATTACCATTAACCAATGCACATTTCGAAAATGTTTTTCTTAAATGTTTTTTTTTTCACCTTCGTGAAAGTGTGATTGGTTAACGAAATCGCTCAGGCGAGTCGTCATAATTTCGTTACGTTAAGCCCTTTTCGTGAGACCACGAAAAGGGTTTTTCAAATTATATGATTTGCGCGTTTTGAGCTTGCGCTGCTTGCGGAAGGTCGAGAACGAGGTGTTACTTCTATTGTCCGCGGTAATTCTGACCAGACGACAAATTTGCTAAACGTTTTTTAAGAAGCCATACGAGCCCTCACATGACACGCGACGAAGTCGCTGGTAACCTGGCCCAAGGGACAATACGCTAAGGCACGCATCGTGAATAGAAATAGTAAAACGGCCTACGCCACCCCACATAAAACCGTACGTGCTACTCGATAATCCATTTTTCCCGTAGTAAACCGCTCTTATTCGTCGTAGTCCATATTTGCGAGTCGCGGATTTGGAGCATAGAGCATACCCCCTGTATCCGTATCAGCTGTGGTAACTGCTGCAGATCTTTGGGCCTTTGTCGATTGGTCCGTTGCCCGTGCTTTCGGACGAATGAGACATTAAATAGAGTCGCGGCATCAAACGAATGGGTGATTGACAGGATGTCAGGTGTAGTAATGCATGATGACATTGCTCTACTCTTCTGTCTGACTGTCCTTATGACAGCAGTACAGACGCCCAACCTTGTCGCAAATCAACCTAGCGCCTAATCAGAATTGTTTCCCAAAACCCTCGATATACGGGCGATGGGAGATCTGTTTGCGTCACATATGATTGAGTTTGCAACCAACATAAAGCATGGGACAAGTCATTGCCGACGTAGTTTCGTCGCCACAAAACTGTACACCGCAGTCGCAGTCGCCTGATCGTCTCATAAGAGTCGCATACTGGCAACAAACAACGCCACCCAAGCCCCTTCCACAAATACCCACCCTCTTCGATATGTCCTCGTGTGAAAGCCTCATTTGCTAGTAACGAGGGCATGCAAAATACTTGTGCGACTGAATCCCCGACACCCTCAAATTTTGTGTGACTTTGACGAGCTTCGTCTGTACAGAAGTCGAAGGGGGTGGATGTTTGGGCTTGCACTGGAACTTCAATGAAGACTTCACTGCCCTGTGAGCGAAAGGTTGGGTTTCCGGGTGACCCTGCGGAGCTCCTCTAGCCGTTGCGACTGACTCACGAGGTTCCGGGTTACCCTGTTCTTCGTTGAAGATGATTACCACTACAGAGTTGCTTTTCAAGCGCATTGTACCCTTCTATATACTTTCCAAAATGCATTGTAACGTACTGCACTCAGCATTAGCAAGCTTGGTGCTTGTTCCAGGCCAAAAAGAGAACGTTGCGGAGTTCAACGAACGGATGCGAAAGAAAATAGATTCGCTGTGTAAGACATGGATGCCTTGCCAGCGTACACAGATATGTGAGTATAACAACTACAGTATACTTGATGTCCAGTAAACCGCCCATAAATTAGATGCAACGTATCAATTAACAGTCATATTGGTCTGAACGCACGGGCAACGACCCAATCGACACATGCCCAAAGATATTTGATATCATATCTGATATGGAGACCTCCAAAAGTGCTAAGGGGATGTTCTCATACTGTACACTGTTGCCCGAGGAACGCAAAACAAGAAACAATGGTTACCCGCTTTAGAGTGGAAAAAGCCAACGAGATAACCAGACTACCCTATACAAGTTATATTCTCTTATCACCTGGCTGGCGACCCAGGAAATTTTGTGTACATGGAATAAATGGCGGTATATTCGGGAAGACGGGACTATGGAGTTTCGAACTATTCTTGTTCTTTGGTTTTTTATGAACGGTTTATGATCGACACTGTTGGCGTTTATTGCGATCATATATCGCTCACCAGGTCGGCGTCAATTTAGGGTTCATTGTTAATTTTTATTACTAACAGCGTTTATCGTGATCTATAAAAAACAAGGAAAATATATTTACATCCAAACTATTTGTAAAAAAAAAAAATGAATATGGTAGGCGAATATCGATGAGAATTGTTACCACTTCTGGTTGCACATCTGGCGTAGTTTCGAAGTAGTGTAAAACATGCCCCCGATTGTAATCGACTGACGACACTGCAAAAACATTACTTATGGAATTTGTGGGGCAAACGTGGAGAAATATAAATGGCTGTCTAGTGGTTGTTAAGTTGTCCAAAAGTTATGGAGATTTTCTCTGCACATTGGTTGGCGATTATGATACAAACATGTAGTGTTATTTCGCCTTTCATTGAAAGTCGTAGCATGAACACACTGATTGGCTATCGAAAAGATGTTTTCAATGGATTGTAATAGAACTGTTCACATGACATGAGTACACTGTGCGTATGAAGAGAGTTTTATAAGGATCGATTGCTTATGAAGCACTACGGGGCAGCAAAGGGGGTTGTCTACAAGGCATATGATATGTATTGGCCCAATTCTTCCGTGAAAGTTAAGTGCTCGACTCTGGAGCCCCCGCCTGAAAAACATTTGGGCCTGAAAAGGAATTCATGTGTACACCCAGCACGTCTGTGTTTTGGTGGGCAGGGTGGCTATCGTATCAAAGGGATCGGCGGTTGAGAATCGATTCTGTCACGAGTCGCGTCGCAATCAGGTTCGTTGCAGATCGTACTGTGTATCCTGCACTGAAACAAAAATGTTTGGATCAAATTTCACACTGTATTGCGTACTTTTGGTTTTAGGGGCTCCGGGTATCTGGTCAACTCTCCCGTCAAAATTCATGTTCGGTACCCTGTTTTGTCAAAAGTGTCCCGTCAAATCCGGGTTCCACAGCCAGTACAAACCCGTGTTTAAAAATCGCCCGTCAGGTTTGGGTTTAAACCCTGCTTTGTGAAAAAGAATCCCGTCAGAATGGGGATGCGGCAAAACAATCATCCGTTATTTTGCTGAAATTCGGATAGTTACTCCTGAAAAATTAGTGCACCAGACGATGGAAATCAGGATCAAAGCTCACACGGTTCGAACCTTCGTCCTCCTGCCGTTTCGTATGATAAAAGCTTCGTCCTATAAAACACCCTTCGTACGTTTTTTAATGCTCAAACCTTACCGAAATCGCGTTTTGCAGATTAGGCAGTCCAAATTTCAGCCTCTACCCGCCTGTCCTTCACCTCCTTCCCTCTCCACTTCCTCTCCAGCACTGCAGTAGCAGCAGCAGCAACAGCTGGACAAGATTTGTGTATTCTTCGAAAATGCGAAGCCTTCCGCTGCCATACTCGTAGTCAGTAGACTGCACATTCGAGGAAGTGCGGTGCATTTAGCTCAACAGACTCCAGCTCGAAAGCTCACCACCTGTACCACGCTTGTGTCTGAGTGGAGGACAGCACACGGTTTTCAACCTCTGAAACTCCGAACCTCAGTCGTTTTCAACGTAAAAGATCCGCAACCTAAATACAAACGGTACTCTAGACCCCAAATTCGTCAAACAGCCCGAGCCGATCGATCGTGGCGGTCCGATCGAGTTATGGAGTTCGCTGAGGTCGAGTTCGGGGACGGTTCGTCACCTGGTTTTGAAACTGTTGTCAAGTTTTGAGACTGCTATTTCGGAGACTACCATTCTGGAGAATCCTAGACCAATGCTGAGACGACTAACAGCAAAGCAGTCGCATTGAGCCGTGTAGTGTGCTGCGGGCGAGTTCAATTCACCGAGTTTTCGAGACGGCTCACAAGTGTTGAGACTAATTTTGAGACGACTAGAACAAAGTTAAGCGGCTAAGCGGTCGCATTGAGCCATGGAGTACGGTGCGGTCGAGTTCGGCCCACCTGGGTCGCTCCAGTACAGAAAATTCCTCCTGGATTCCCGGCGGCTCCCTGGCCCGTCAAACCCGGCGCCAAACCCGGCGCCGGCTACTAACAGCGCTGCGAATACTACCAATAGTAAGAGTGGTAGGAGTTCAACGCGGAACGGTGGCGCAGCGTTACCCGATGAAGCAGCAGCCGGCGCACCTCAGACTCCCAAGGGTAAGGCGAAGCGCGGGGGGAAATTTGCCTCTCCGCTTTCACCGCCGTCATCGCCGCTGGGGGCAACGGCGCAAGATCTCGTAATCGTACCTCTTTCCCCCTGGCACCAGGTCCCGCTGCTCCTCTCCGCGTCCGCCGCGCTGCCTCCTCCCGCCGATGCCGCGGCGTCGAATGCCGGCCGTGCTTTCAATACCGCCGATGCTTCCAATGCCGCCACGGCGCTACAAACAGGGCTCCATGCCGGTTCGTTGAACAACAGTAGATTAGCGTCGGTGGGAGTTACTTTCTTTCCCCCGCTTCGCGCCGCAGCGCCGGCTGCAGGCCCCGCGGCCAGCGCCGCAACTTCCTCCGCCAACCCCACGGAGCCTCCCGCGGGGGATGCGGGCGGTCTCTTCCGCATGGTGTGCGCCGTTCCGCGCGGCACGTGGGCGCAGGTGGAGCTGGCGGTGGCGGAGTCTCCGCACCATCCGCTGCGGGTGCGCGGAGTGAACGACCTGCCGTCCCATTATAGTCACAACCTTCGGTGGAATGTCGGCTTCCTCCCGCAAACCTGCCGCTGCTTCGATACTAACGAATTCGATAGTAGTAGTAGTAGCGACGGTGACCGCGGCGGCAGTGGCTGCGGTGGCGGCGGCGGTGGCGGCGGTTGCGGCTTCCCGCTCCGCGAGCGAGAAACGACATCGCCAAGCGCGGAAATGGCGGAAAAGCGCACGTTTGGCGGAAGCGTTACTTGCGGCGGCGCGCACGGGCCCCTGGAGGTGGTGGACATCGGGGAAGCGCGGGCGGAAGCGGGGCAGGTGTATCTGGTGAAGGCTCTGGCGGCGTTTCTGGTGGTTAGCCCGAATCTGAACACGCACTGGACTGTGATTGTAACGAGCGACGATGTTGGCGCGAAAGGCTGGTTTCGTGAAAGTACCGGATGTGATGCGAACGAGAGGGACGAAAACCCCAAGGCGGGGGAGGCGTGCGATGAGGCGTGCGATGATGACCGTTGTCCGGATGAGGACGATCGCAGGGCGAAGGGTTTGGAGGAGATTCGCGAGTGGCTCAAGTTTCGCGGATGCTTATCGCCACGTGAGTTACATAACCAAAAACGGGATGCAAAAAGATGTAGGGGTGGATAATAATATCTGGGGTTACAATAGAAGATTGCTGTCTCTATTTATTCCAGTGATCAACAATGACCACTTTCCCCCTCCTAGTCACTTTTTTGTTAGGTAGTTAGATTTTTTTCTACCAACTCATTGCTTCTCGCTTTCTTGCCACTCTAATCCCCATCCTTCTTCCTCCTTCCCTGTTCCCCCTTCCCCTCTTCCTCCTCCGCAGTGGATTTGCCCTGCACCATTTCTTTTCGTGAGAAGCCCGTGCCTCTGGACCGTACGATTGCCATGATCAACGGTGCACATGCAGCCTGGAAAGGCGCTCATGGCGCTGCCGTTATGCCACACCAGCGGCAGCAGCAGCAGCAGCAGCAGCAGCGGTCACCACCACAGCAGAATCAGCGCCAGATACAGCCAGAGGGGATGCTTATAAGCGAACTCCGAAGATCCGTGGAGCGCACGTGTGGCAGCTCTCTGGAGCGCCACGTGGCAGGCAGTGTGGTGTGCGTCCCACTGAGTGAGCCCGAGGGGGCAAAAGAGATAGTTAAAAGAGCGGCAGGGAGTCTTCTCCCCGGTGCTGCTGCTGCTGCCCTGGCAGCTGCAGGCGTGAGGGAGGGAGGAGGAGGGGGGGAGGAGGAAAAGGAGGAGGAAAAGGGGGGGGAGAGAGGGAGAGGAAAAAGTCAAAAGGGGGGATACCTCCTAGGGTCTATCACACTCGGACTTCTTCCTCCCCAGTGTTCCTAGATTCGGTTCTGGACGGTTCAGGCTTACCTCAGAGTGGCAGTGAAGCTGCTTATAACGGAGCAGATCCGAGAGGGGGATATGGATCGCCACAAATGGCCAGGTCTAAGTTCAACAAGAGCAGCTTGGGGCGGGGGTTGGGGCTTTTAAGTAAAACACTTAGGGGAAAAGAAGGGGAGAGAGAGGAAGAGGTGGGAGAAGGAGGACAAAGCAAGGGGAAGCAGCTGGATTTGGATAAGTCCGGACCAAGAAAGGGCGGGTTTACTTTTAAGATGAAGGGCAAGGGAAAGGAGGGGAGGGAGGCGAGGATGGAGGAGGAGAGGGTGGGGGAGGAGAGGGTGGGGGAGGAACAAGAGGAGAAGTGCGGAAGAAGAGAGGGGGATGAGAAGGTGAAGAAGGGAGTGCTAATGAAACTGTTTAAAAAGGGAATGAAGCGGATGAGCAAATCAGTTGATAGTGGTGATGATGGTGATTATGGCAACCAGGAGGAGTGTGGATACTCGGGGGATGGAGTGAGGGAGGAGGAAGTGGTGGAGGGGGAGGAGGAGGAGAGGGAGGGGGGGGAGGAGAGGGAGGTAGAGGAGGAGGGAAATATGAACCAGCTAGGCAAGAACAGCAGCACCACCAACAGCAGCACTAGCAGCACCAACACAGGCACCAGCAGCACCAGCAGCACCACCACCACCAGCAACAGCAGCAGCAAGGGCAAGGGTCTGCGTCGATCACTGCTTATCCCGAAGCCAGCGTTTCCCAAGGCAGCTGGCATCATCCCTACCTCTTTCTCGCTTGACACGCTCCCCTTCCCCCGTCCCTCCTCCTCCTCCCCTCTCACCCCCCCTTCCCTCACTTCCTCTCCTCTCGCCTCCCCTCTCCTTCGTTCCCCTCGGCCCCTGCCCCCTCTCCTCGTCCCTCTCTCCCCTCCCACTGCCAAAAGCAGCACGCCTGTTCTAAGCACGCCCGCCGTACACACGCCCAACCGGAGCATGCCTGTTATAAGCACGCTCGGGAAGGGAAGAGGGGGAGAGGGTGGGGGAGAGGGCGGGGGAGAGAATGGAGAGAGAGAAAGAGAAGGGAGCAGGGTTGAAGAGACAGTGGAGGTGGCTGAAGCTGGGAGGGGCGGCGGCAGGGGTAGGGTAAGGCACCGGCGTGCTGTCTCTGTCACCGATTTCAACCACTCTGTCACCGATTTCAACCTCTCTGTCACCGACTGCACTCCTCTCAGTGTCGTAGACTCGTGCGAGGGGCCTAGGTCGGTTGAGGAGGGAAAGAGGCGAGGACGTTCCAGGAGAAATGTGAACCAGCCAGGAGAGGAGGTAGGGAGAGAGGGTGAGAAGGGAGCAGGAGGAGAAGGTGGGAAGGGAGGAAGAGATGGGTTGGAATGGGTGGAAAGGGTTACCGTTCAAGGGGCAGAAGAGGTGGCTGAACCTAGGAGAGGGGTCAGAGGCAGGGGCAGGGGCAGGGGCAGGGGCAGGGGCGGGGGAGGGCACAGGCGAGCTCTCTCTGTCACCGATTTCAATCCCTCTGTCACCGAATCCAACCTCTCTGTTACGGACTGCACCCCTCCGACTGACTTTGACCCGTGCGAGGGGCCAAGGTCCATTGAGGAAGGGGGGTCTCTCTCCTCACATTGGGTAGTCTCAGAACTATCTTTGGCTGCTGGCCTACTAGCAGGCACTACTGCTGCTGCTGCCACTAATGCTGCAGGTATGCCTGCTGCCGTTGGCGGTGGTGGTAACCGCGCTCTGAAGAATGCGCGTAACACCCCGGATAGCTCACAGCTTAGTGGCAACACCAACGGCCAGGATCGCGCACAGAACGGCTATCAAGGCGCATCCGGCCGTTCATCTGCGAACCCAGCGTCAGATCCCAGCCGATCATTGCCGGCACATGCTCTCTCCGCTGTTCCCACTGGCTCCCCCCCCCCACCTGCTGCCGTTCCTGCTGCCGCTGTTGCTGCTCCTGCTGCTGCTGCTGCTGGTGCCGCTGGCGGTATTGCAAGGGTGAGCAGGCGACACACAACAGGCGGTCAGCCAAGCAACTGCCACATAAACAGCACTTACTTAAGCAAGGATCCGCCTTTTGCCCAGCAGACAGCATCAGGTGAAGGTGCACTTTTTGAAACCTCTGAAAAGCAACAGTCACAGGTGCTTTCTCAGGTGCTTTCTCAGAGTGATCGCCCGACGGGGAGTGGTGGTAGGGACATGGCGGGTGCTGCTGCTGCCGTCACAGGGGCAGCAGCAGCAGCAGCAGCAGCAGCTGCTGCTGAAGGCAGTGTCAGGGGGCGCAACTGCAGTGCTCAATATCGCAACGGGGGGGTTGTGATGGACGGTCATGGTGCTCTCAGAGGAAGTTGTTCAGATAATAGTGAGGAGTTTAGTAGCGAGGATGAGGGGAGTGAGCGGGGCATCTCAGGTGAAGATTCGAGCTGGTCTAGTGGCCGGCTCAGCTACGCTTTTGACGCTGCGTCAGTGGCAGGGAGGGGGACAGGGAACGCCGTTACAAGGAGAGACTTCTTTGCTGCTGCTTCTCCTTCTGCTGCTGCTGCTGCTGCTGCTGCTGCTGCTACTGCTGCTGCTGCTGCTGCTGCTTCTACTTCTACTATAATTGATGCCTCTCCCCACGCCCAGTCTCACATGCGCCATAACAACAGCTTCAAGTTTGGTACGGCAGTCACTGGTTCGGCAGTGGGAGGTTTGACCTTAGGAGATTTGGCAGACGGAGGTTTGTCTGCTGGTACTGCCGCTACAGCAGCTGCTGCTGCTGCTGCTGCTGCTGCTGCTGCTGCTGCTTCTGCTTCTACTATAAGTGATGCCTCTCCCCACGCCCAGTCTCACATGCGCCATAACAACAGCTTCGAGTTTGGTACGGCAGTCACTTGTTCGGCAGCGGGAGGTTTGACCTTACGAGATTTGGCAGACAGAGGTTTGTCTGCTGGTACTGCCGCTACAGCAGCTGCTGCTGCTTCTACTTCTACTATAAGCGATGGCTCTCCGCATGACCAGTCTCACATGCGCCATAACAACAGCTTCGAGTTTGGTATGGCAGAAGCTGGTTCGGCAGTCGGAGCTTTAGAAAATGAAGGCTCGGCAGATGGAGGTTCGGAAACCAGTGGCTTGGGCCGAGCCTCGGAGGTATGGCAAGGCACGGTTGGGTTCGGCAGCCGAGGGTTGTTTCCACAGAACAGGAGAGGGGGTCGGCGTTTCTCGTCCTTTTCGGGGTTTTCAGAGTTGAAAGCAAGTGGAAGAGGGGGAGGAGGAGAAGGAGGAGGGGGAAAAGGAGAAGGAGGAAGCAGGGGGTTACCTGGTGGGAGGGTTGTGAGACGCTGGGAGGAACAGGGTAGAGGAAATGGGGAAAAACAGGTTGAGGGTGAGTTGGAGAAAGAGGAGGAGGAAGAGGAGGAGGAGGACGACGACGAGCGCACTCCTATCGCTACTCCTGTGGGCCTTTCTCCATCTGGTTCCCCTCAGCGTGTGTTTGTGTCATTAGACCTACAAGGAGGGGGAAAGGGCGACGAGGAGGGGGAGGAGGAGAGTGACGATGAGCACGCTCCCATCGCTACTCCCGTTGCCCGTCCCCGCACTGGTTTCCCTGTTGATCCGCCTCCCTTTGAGTCGACTCAGAGGAAGGCTACTCCCGTTGCCCGGAATGTGAGAAATCTAACCGGCCCCCCAATGGGTTTCACTGTTGATCCGCCTCCCTCTCTCTCCCCCTCGGGTTTGCCTGTTCGTCTGCCTCCCTCCTCGCCTGGTTGCAAAAACGAGGCTAGGTTCAATGAACCTGGAAAGGGGGAGAGCGAGACCAAGGAGGGGAGGGATGAGAGGAAGGAGGGGAGGGAAGAAGAGAGAGGGGGGAAGGTGATGGCACTGCAAGAGGGTGTGAGGGCCAGCAATGTGCGGTTTGCAATACCACGGCGAGAAATCGGCGTTCCTGTTGCCACTGGCGCTTCAGGTGGCATGGCTTCAGGTGGTATGGCTTCAGGTGGTATCACTTCAGGTGGTTTCACTTCAGGTGGTATGGCTTCAGGTGGTAACACTTCAGGTGGTGGGGTTTCAGGTGGGGTGGGCAGTGTGAAACCCAGGCACCGGCACCACCATTCATTCTCAAGCCTGGAGGATTTGACCATTTTGAGGAGCAGAGGCAAGGCAGGGAGTGGGGGGGGTGGCGGGAGCACAGGGCGGGTGGGGACTGGCGGAGAGGAGGGGAGGTTGTTGTCGCCTAGAGCAGTCTCGTTTTCTGCTGGGATGAAGGGAGGGGTAGGGCAGAGGGAGAAGGATGGAGAAGGAAGGGGAGGAAGAGGAGGAGAGGAGGGGAGGTTGTTGCCACCTAGAGCAGTCTCGCTTGCTGCTGATTTTAAGGGGGGGGAAGAAGAGAGGGAGAAGGATGGAGAAGAGAGGGGAGGAGAAGGAGGCGAAAGAGGAGGAAAAAGAGTGGGAGAAAACAGAAGGGCAAGAATAGATGCGATGAGGCAAGTGGCGATGAAAGGAGGAAGGTTGGACAAGCATGACGGTAGAATCAGCAGCAGCAGCACCGCCGCCACCACCAGCAGCAGTAGCACCAGCAGCAGCAGCAGCACCAGCAGCAGCACCAGAACCAGCACCAGTAGCACCACCGCCACCAGTACCAGCATCATCAGCAGAAGAAGTCTCCAGCTCTCCCCTTTAGGCCTCCGAGCCGGCAGCTGTAGCAGAGGCATGAGCGCTGGCACTGGCACTGGCACTGGCACTGGCAAGAGCATGGAAAGGGTCGTAGGAGTGGGGGGAACTGACTTCAGCAAGAGTATGAGCCGCAGTGTCAGCTATGAGACTGGCAAGAATGCCACCACCAGTATCAGATCTCCCACCAGTATCAAATCTCGCACCAGCAGCAGATCTCTTTCCAGTAACACATCTCCCACCACCACTATCACCTGGACACCCCCCACCCAAGGTCTTCTCTCCCGGAGCTTCGATGCTCGTAGTCCAAGGGGGGGAGGAGGGACAGCAGCACCCAAGTCTCTGCGAGGGGGAGAGGTGAGGGGATTGGGGCAAAGTGAAGCCGAGGTGGCAGGAGGAAGAGCAGCAGAAGCAGCGAGAGGGGGAGAAGGAGCAATGGTACCCAGGTCCCTGGGAGGGGGGAGAGGGAGGGGAGGGGGGCAGACCGAGGCAGGGCTGGCAATGGCTCGTCACAACGAGGCGATGAGGACGAGACGAGCGGCTCAAGCAGATGCTGCCGCCGCTGCTGCTGCTGCTGCTGCTGCTGCTGGTGCAGCTGCTGGTGCCGGTGCTACTACTGCTCTTGCAAAATCTAATGGTGCTGCTGCTGCTGCCAATGCTACCGGAGCTGGTGCTGCTGCCAACGCTACCGGAGCTGGTGCTGCTGCCAACGCTACCGGAGCTGGTGCTGCTGCCTGTAGTGTCATCTCAGAAACCGCTGGAGTGGGTGCTGCTTATGCAGCAGCAACCGAAGCATCCACTGCAGTAGCAGTCACAGGCACAGCAGCCGTCACCCAACTTCCTGGAACCTTCTCAGCCGTTCCCCTAGCAGTCTCTCACCTGCTCCAGTCATCTGGCCTCGGCTCGTGGCTCTCTCCTGGGGCCAGCTCTGCTGGCTCCGACGATGACAGCAGCCCTCTCAGGCAACGGCCCATCTCGGGTTTTGAGGCCCCTAACAAGCCGTCTGGCCTCGGCTCGTGGCTTTCCCCTAGGGACAGCCCTGCCGGCTCTGATGACGACAGCACTCCTGTGAAGCAGCGGCCGGTGAACAGGGAGAATGAGCAGCAGCTACAGCTGCAGCAGCAGGAGGACGAGAAACGGTGGCAGCAGCAGCAGCAGCAGGAGAGACAGGGTGTGGGTGTGGGACAAAGTCAGCAGCAGCAGCACAGCAGCAGCAGCAGCAGCATGCAGCTGGGCGGGTTGACGGAGCGAGGAGAGGACGGCTCGTTTCCAATGCCAAGGCAAGGGTGACCCGGCCGCACCTGGAGAGTGTGCAGTCGTCGTGGGTGCATGATGACCACGAGGACGACGCGGAGTACGAAGGGTGGGGTGCCATGCCCAAGGGGGGGGCAGCAACTTGTGGAGGCAAGGAGGGTTTCTCCTGGTGTGAATGCTAGAACGAGGGTGGCTCGGCCGCACCTGGAGAGTGCAGTCATTGTGGCTGCATGATGACCACGAGGACGATGCGGTGCGGAGTACGGAGGGTGGGGTGCCACGCCCAAAGCGGGAGCAGCAACTGGGGCTGCTGGAGGGACGGCGCAAAGGTTTTAGCTGTGAGATGTTTCAAAGCTCGGCCGCATGTCGAGGGTATTTTTACTGGAGCTAGGCTAAGGCGCATCTTGAGAGTGAACTCGTCATGGTGCATGGTCACGACGAGGACGATATGGAATATGAAGGATAGATGGTGCCGAGCTTACTGGGAGTAAACGGGTTGGAGTAAACATGTGTTTTAGGCGTTTTAGGTCAAAATCATGCCAGCGGCAATAACTTACATCCAGCAAGGAAATGGAGGCGCGTGACATGAAATAACTTGCAATTACTTCTGATGTACGCACATTGTGTACAGTACATGGATTGAAAGGCATTTTCCACGTGAAAATCAGTATACTGCTCATTTGTTTCAAGGCATTGCAAATCCAAGCCTATGTTACAGCTGGGAAGTGTGAGTTGAAGTGGTCCTAAAAACATGTACGACAGAACATACATATGGCTGGTAACTGTACATAAGCCCTTCCTTCGTGCTGCTGCCCCTACGACCCTGACGACGAAGACGGATTTGGCGTTTCTACGTGCGATTACATGCCGAGTCCGACGGCGAGTAATGGGCATGCGATTTCTAGGCTGAACGAGCTACTGTACCCTGAATCGTTTGTCCACAAAATGCCCAGCCCGATTCTGTCCCAAAGTGCACACCCCCAACGCACAATTCCAGAGCGACTCGTGAACAAGGTGTTCTAAAGTCGGGCACCCTTTGTTCCAGAGATTTTCACACACTTTTCAAAATTGCTGGAGTAGCAGGGACTCGGCACTGTGTATGGAGCAGCGTCATGGAGCAGGGGAAAATAAATTAGACCTACAGGGGCACGGCCCACCCAGAGTGGGGCATAGGCCCATTTGGGGTTATATTTAGTTCTGCCCGTAAATCCTGAAAAAATGTTGTAGAGGTAGTTACTCCGCTGGTTGTACGTTTTTTTTGTTCAAATAACCGAGTCGTTGCTACTCCCGAAATTTTAAAACCTCTATGTGCTAATAGTGCAAATTGATGCTATGTGAGCAAATATCAATGCGTTTCTATGGAGGTACTGATAATCTCTCCAATTTTACACTCCCTCCACCACACTACGCTTGTCAGTCCACCAGAGTAGCTGGCACTTTCACGGGTGAAAGCACGGCTGAGTCCATGCAGGCCTCTGGGCATGTACACCTGACGTCCAGTCAATCGCTCATTCATTAGATGCCAAGTGTTTGATTACATTTCCATTAATCCAAATGCACGGGCAACGGCTCAATCGACACAAGCCCAGAGATCTGCAACAGTTACCACATCTGATACACCTGACGTTCAGTATATTGCCCAATCATTAGATGCCACGTGTAGATTTACAGGCCCATTGATCCGAATGCACCAAAGATCTACAAAAGTTAACGAACCTGATACGGAGACCTCCAAACATATAGACGGAGCGTTCTCAAACCTTATACACTGTTGCTCGAGGAACCAAAAAAAAAAAAAAAAAAAAAAAAAGGTCACCCCTTTTACATTGGAAAATACAACAAGGTAACCAGACTACCCTACATTGGCCCAATTCGCCCGTAAAAGTTATGTCCTCGACTCTAGAGCACCCACCCATAAAAGAAAAGAAAAGAATAAAAAAAAACAAAACAAAACAAAACTAGGGGGGAGGGGGGGGGGGGGGGGGGGGGCTGAAAAGGACTTCATGTGTAATATTTCCGCAAACAATGAGCCTCGTTTGAACTTTCAGAAGGGTTCAAAATAACGTGGTGTGTTCGTAAGCATTGTAGTCAGAGAAATGTGTGGTACAGTGTGCTGTTGATACCTCGTATCCACGGCCCTTATACAAAAGATGCCCATAAAATTCTCAACCAAAACAAAAATCCCAATCGTTCCCCCCTCCGCCCACTAGAACAAGTTTACGGATAGTAGCCGTTTCGACAGAGTCCAAAAGTGCCCGCGTGACGACACCCACCTGCAGTGTTATCATTATAGTGGCTCTTAACATATGGTTAATGACGGACTCAACTCGACACGCTTGCCTTCGCCAAACCCATTAACACAATAACGCTTTGCCCAACCCATTAACACATGTCGTTATTTTCACCGAGCCGTGACATGTCCAGGTCGACAAGAACAATAAACTTACACTGTTCGACAAAATTACGTTTGCTGACGCGTACGCAGGTCGATTTTTTTCGCCATACATATTTCGACGGCGTCGTAATTGCACTTCGCCCAACCCAACAAAGCCTTACGTTTTTTTCGCCGAGCCGCAAATAATACCACGTAGACAAGGGCATAAGAAGTTACACCGCAAAACTGAAATTACGTTTGCCGACCTGGCGAGCTATCACCCCAAAGCCACAAATCGGAACGCCCACCGCGACGCGGCAAACCCAATTCGAGCTGGGGCATCCAAGTGCGAAATTGCATTTACTTAACAGGCCGTTCGAATATTATGTCACTTGTCAAGGCTAAGGACAAATGCATCTTTCACAAAACGCGAATGCATACCAGTTGCCAAATAAGTAACGGAACGTACCGAAAATGAAAACCGGGAATGCAAACACGCACACAAAAAAATCCCCAACGCATCTGCATGCACACAAGCACTATATAAACTACCACCAAAGAACATGGGGCCAACTTGCCAACATACCAAAAATGAAAACCGAGAATGGAAACACACACCAAAAAACAAACCCCAACGCATCTATACGCTTAACCCTCTACTGATTTCCAATTTGCCACCATGCCGCAAGTGCACCAGCGCTCGCAGCTCCCTCTTGAGGTTAAGTGCGCGATATGCAGGCATCGCGCGCTTAACAATCATTTTCGGCATGAGAATCTGGCGCGATGGTGCTTCACCCGCTTCGGCCTCATGCCAGACCAGTCGACCGTTGGGAAGGTTCTCCGCCAAAAAGCTCGATGGTTCAGTGAAGTCGCCCTAGCATGCGATCGGCGCATTCGCGGCGGCCGCCATCCGGATGTTAGGGCCTTAATTCTTCGCTGGGTTGATGACGCTGGTCCCGCTGGCGTGCCGCTGACGCTCAGGACCATCCAAGCTCAGGCAATGTTCTTTGCCTGCTCCTTGGGTAAGCCTGATGGCTTCAAAGTTTCGGTCGTGTGGGTGAGGCGATCGCTGAGAAGGCTCAACATCCGTTGCCTTACCTTGTCTAGTGAAGCCGCGGATCAGGACCTTGGCGACGTTATGACCTCCAAGGTCCGAATGCCGGATTTCTTTCGTCAAGCTGACGGTCACTCGCGTTTGGAACTTTGACGAGACGGTGTTGTTTATCTCCGCCCTCCCACGGAAGACATGTGCGCGGTGTCGCTGGGGGGGGCGGAAAATTGCAAAAGAACGCCTCACCGTGGGGTTCCTCTGCAATGCATGCCTCCACAATTTGGCGTTCTCTCATCATCTTTAAATCGCATCGCCTCAAAGACTTCCGGCCCAACTACGACCCCAACCCCTATTGGTATAGCAATGAGAGGGGTTGGATGACCTCCAAGGTAAGCCTCTCCAAATGCTCACGCACCCAACTACCTCTCTCTCTCTCTCTCCCGGCCACTTTGCAAATTGTCCCTCCACCGTCATGAGCGTTCGTTCCTACATGTGCATCAACGCCGCGCCTTACCATCCCTCTTTCCCCCATCCACCCATTCTTCTATTCCCCTTTCTCCCCCCTCCACATTTAGCTTTTCACCCATTACATGGAGCAACTGAATGTCGCCATGTTTGCGGAGGGGAGGCGGGTTATCGTCCTTGTCAACAACCCATCCTCCCACACCCTCCTCTCCCCCGACGCGCTCTCGGAGGACCTGTTCGGGTTCCGAACCCCCGCCCTCTCCAACCTCCGCCTTGTCTACCTCCCCCCCAACACCACGTATTTTACTCAGCCGCTTGACCAAGGCATAATTGCCATGGTCAAAGCGCGCTACCGCTCACGTTGGCTTGAAGAGCTCACGCGGCGGTGGGGAAGGAATGACGCTACGGCGGCCCTAATGCGCTTTCACCCCAGCATGAGGGAGGTGGTCGAGTGGCTGTGGAAGGCATGGTGCACGATGGGTGACCGTACGATGCAACGGTGCTGGTGGCGCACTGGATGTCTCCCCGCTGAATGGGCGGCTCTCCTCGAGCACGTCCCGCAAGCTCCTCTCCCATGCGACATCGTGCCCGAGGAGGAGTGGGACGAGAATGACGGAGGCTTGGAGGCCGACGAGGACTCCGACGAGAGCCTCGAGGAGGTTGTCGGAGGCGTTGGCCTCCAAATCGCCGCCCTCAAACTCGGGTCGTCAGCCATGCCGGCGACAGACTTCATCGTCATCGACGAAGCGCAACCGACGTGTGCGGAGGCGGAGGACGACCCTCTCGCAGAGAAGCCGCCCTTTTCCCCGCACCGTGGGCCGTGGGAGGCGCCGCCTCGCGACGACATCTGGGCGTTCGGCGACATGGGCGGCCGGGCGCGGCGTCGCATGGCGCGGACGGCGTGCGGGATGCTCATTGGCTACGCCCGTGCCACGAACATCTCCCCTCGTGACCTGCTCGCCCTCTTTGACATACGTAACCATATTGTATTGAGCAAGCTCGAGAGGGCAAGCCCCCTCCCCGATCTCAACGGCCCTCCGGCGAGCCCCCTCTCCCCCTCCGCGCACCGGTCGCGTCCTCCCGCCGTTGACCGCGAGAGTTTCCCGCCGCACGGAACTGTATGAGCAGGGCGTCGGGGAGGCGATGGACGGCCTGCTTGAACCCGCTGAGTGGATGCGCCACCCTTTCAGCGCTGCTTAGGTGCGCGAGCAGAGCATGGCGTCCGCCATTGCCTTGTGGATTTTCGGCTAAGGAATTTGTGTCTGCAGAAATTGAGGTGAAGTAAGATTGAAGAGGTTGGGAGAAGTGGTTGTGAGGAGAAGTGGTTGGGAGGAGAAGTGGTTGGGAGGAGAAGTGGTTGGAATGGGTGTGTGCTATTGTGGCTAGGTTCCTAGACTCTGGAAGTTTTGGGCATCCACAACAGCTGATGAGGTGGCCAAATAAAACCCATATTGGTGTTGGCGTTACTATTAGAAGTTGGTACGCTGAGGTAGCGCTGCTGTTTGATGTTTCGAAGTGGTTGAGGTATTGGATGTGTGTTGTTTCTTGCAAGTTTGTTGTGATCGTGCCAGTACTAATTGCAATCTGTTTCAATGCGGCAGTGTTCGCCTGTGTAACCAGGCTACGAATATGAACCAAACCCAGCCACCCAAACCTCCCATGCACCAGCCAAAAGCGTTACCCTTGTGCGCAGCAAAAATCCCTCGCCACTAGGGGCGAAGGGTGGCTAAATACAGATTTGACAGAAGCCCACGCGGCTCGGAAAGGTGGCTGGTCTCTCTCGGGCACAGGCTGTAACATCCGTAGGGTGTGGTCCTCTGCTGGGCTGCTGTTCGTCAGCTGAATCTTGAAACAGGAGTCACGCCAGCTGGTTGATTTATGATTTTTGTACCACTCGTAGTACACAAAGCGGCCCGAGCCGCGAGAGTCCTTGCTCAATTCCTGACATCGAATTCAATTCCTGACATTGTTCTCTCGTAGCCTTCTTCCGGCCTCATTGTTCCGTGGAACATGATGGGCATTCAGAGTAAATAACAAGCGCGACGGCTTACTATAAGAAGTATGGGAAACTAAAAGTGTGCGTATAATTTCTACTGCCAAGGGTCGAGCAATTGCGAGCGACTTGCATGGAGTTGCGTCGACTTGCGTCGAGATTAGACTGAGTTCTTCGCCTGAGATCACGTCTCGGGGCTGTTTTGGAGCGAATCGAGTCGGGTCTAGACTGCGGGTGTACTTCTGAGTTGTCTCAGAGCTATTTGCGGAGCGACTCGAGTCGGGAATACTTCCGGATTTACTTCCGAACCGAGAGTCTAAGCCTGAAACTCTGAGACGTCTAGGAGCTGTTTGCGGAGCGACTTGAACCGTACTAGTAATACTATTGTACCTTTCGCGAAAAGGCTATTGAAGTAGTAATACTTGTCGGAGACACGGAGTACTTCTGCGAAGGCAGATTTGGCAGCACTCGGGCAGCAACACTGCGCAGCGGCTCGAGCAATCACTGATTGGAGATCCCAAAAGTGTCACATGGAGTACGCTGCGGTGGAGTTCGGTCCTCCTGGGTCGCTGCTCTACAGAAAATATCTCCTTGATCCGCGACTCCCAGGCCCGCAAATACCCGCTACTATCACTTCCAGTAGTACTGTCAGTAGTAGTCCTACTAGTAGCACTGCTACTAGTAGCGGTAGCCCTGTTCCTATAACAGCATGCGCTACTTACGCGGCAGTTTCCGCCGCACCTCTGACTTCCAAGGGTACTACTTGTAATACTAGGTCGAGACGCGGGAGATTCGCCTTTCCGCTTTCGCCGCCGTCGTCGCCGCCGGGGGGATCGGCGGAAGACCTCGCAGTCGTCCCCCTTTCCCCCTGGCACCAGGTCCCACTGCGCCTCTCCGCCTCCCCCCCGCCGACACCGCTGCGTTTCCCCAGCGCTCCCAACGCCGCCGACACTGGTACCTACAATGATGCTGCATTGTTTGACTCAAACGGAGAAACGACTAAAGCAGAACCCCGAATCGTCGCAGATGGTTCTTTCAAGTCGGCGGGAATAACAGTGTTCCCCGCACTTCACGACGCAGCTGCATGCCCCGCGGTCAGCCCCGCCTCTTCCCCCACTTCCGCCGTTTCCGCCTCCGCCGCCAAACCCGGGGCGGAACCTTCCGCCAGTGGCGCTTGTAATGCCGGCGCTGGCAGCGGCTCTTTCCGCATGGTGTGCGCCGTTCCACGCGGCACGTGGGCGCAGGTGGAGCTGGCGGTGGCGGAATCTCCGCACCATCCGCTGCGGGTGCGCGGAGTGAATGACCTGCCGTCTCATTATAATCACAACCTTCAGTGGAACGTCGGCTTCCTCCCGCAAACCTGCCGCTGCTTCGACATCGAAGGCGGGGGCGGCGGAAGCGGGGGGGTGGAGGAAAAGCACACTTTCGGCGGAAGCGTTACGGGCGGAGGCGCACACGGCCCCCTGGAAGTGGTGGACATCGGGGGAGCGCGGGCGGAAGTGGGGCAGGTGTATCTGGTGAAGGCTCTTGCGGCGTTTCTGGTGGTCAGCCCGAATCTCCACACGCAATGGACTGTGATTGTAACGAGCGACATCACAGCGCAGGACTCCGTTCTTAGCGGCGGATGTGATAAGAACGGAAGTGTCGAAAATTTTAAGGCGTGGGAGGAAGGTCGCAATGACGGCTATCCCGAGGGATTTTATTTTGAGGAGATTCGCGAGTGGCTCAAGTTTCGAGGATGCTCATCGCCACGTGAGTAAACGAAATTGTCGAAACTCAGGTATGCAGGTTACATACATGGGCGTCTATTGTTCGTTACTGCTTAGCTTCAGTTCAAAACTTCAATAGCTCCATAGGAAAAAAAAAAACAATTTCTGGTCTCAAAAGGAAAAAGGTTGACACATCAATTTGACGTGGAAAATTGCATCCTAAGCTTGCAAAAATTTGTTTCCCTCCTATACTTCTCCCCTCCCCACACAGTGGACCTTCCCTGCACAATTTCCTTTCGAGAGAAGGCCGTTTCCCTCGACCGTACGATCGTCGTAATCAACGGTGCACATTCAGCCTGGAAATACGCACATGGTGCCGCCTTCATGCCACTTGAAAATCAGCAGCAGCAGCAGCAGCAGCAGCAGCTAGAGGGGATGTTAATAAGCAAACTGCGGAGATTGGTGGAACGCACTTGTGGCAGCTCCCCGGAGTGCCACGTGGCAAGCACTGTGGCCTGTATCCCTCTTTCTGAGGCGGAGGGGACAGGTGAGGCAGCCAGAAAGGCATCAAGGACTCTTCTCCCTGGTGATGCCGCTGCTGCCCTGGCTGCTGCAGGTGTGAGGGAGGAAGGAGGAGGAGGAGGAGGAGGAGGAGGAGGAGGAGGAGGAGGAGGAGGAGGAGGAGGAGGAGGAGGAGGAGGAGGAGGAGGAGGAGGAGGAGGAGGAGAAGGAGGAGGAGGAGGAGGAGGAGGAGGGGAAGGAGGAGGAAGGAGAGGGGGAGGAGAGAGAGCGAGGAAACGAACCAAGGGCAGCACGCCTCCTAGTAGAAGTTACCACCATCGCTCTTCCTCCTCCCCAGTTTTCCTAGATTCGGTTCTGGACGGTTTTGGCTCACCACAGGGCGTCAGCGAAGCTGCTTTTTACGGAGCATCACCCTGTAATGAATCTTCACGGCTGAGCAAGTCTAAGTCCCAGAGGAGTTTAGAGCGTGGTTTGGAGCTGGTAAGTAAAACGCTTAAACGGAGAGAAGTTAGAACACTTAGAGGGAAAGAAGACGAGAGAGAGGAAGAGGTGGGAATGGCGGGAGGCAAGGGGAAGGCAAAGGGGGGGGTGCTGCCGAAGCTGTTTAGGAAAGGAGCAAACTGGAAGGATGCATCAGGTGACGACACCGCCACCGCCACCACCACCAGCGGCAGCACCACCACCACCGCCACCACCGCCACCAGCGGCAGCACCACCACCACCACCGCCACCACCAGCGGCAGCAGCAGTAGCAGCAAGATCAAGAGCAAGAGCAAGGGCAAGGGCAAGCTGGCACAGTCCGAGCCATCTTCGTTTGTGCCTGCATCCCGCACTCTCGAGTCGACTCAAATGCCAGCTTTGTTGGTGCCCGCATCCCGCACTCTCGACAGCCACTCGTTCCTCCGTCCCTCCTCCTCCTCCTCCTCCTCCTCCTCCTCCCCCCCTTTCCCTCCTCCCATCTCCCCTCGTTCTCCACTCTCACCTCCTCCCCTCCCCCCTCCTCCCCTCTTACCTCCTCCTCGCGTCTTCGCTCCCCTCGCTCCGTCCCCTCGCCTCGCCTCCTGCCCTTCCCCCCGTCTGAAGCCCCTTCTGAAGCCCCGTCTGAAGCCCCGTCGCAAGCCCCATCGCAAGCCCCGTCTGAAGCCCCTTTTGAAGCCCCGTGGCAAGCCCCATCGCAAGCCCCGTCTGAAGCCCCTTCTCAAGGCCCTTCTCAAGGCCCTTCTCAAGGTCCTCTTCATGTACTCGCGTCTGCTCCGTTGACTGCTGCTGCTGCTGCTGCTGCTGCGGCAGCCACTGCTGCTGCTGCTGGGTCTCCTCACTCCTCTTCTCCCGTTCCCAATTGCAGCAGCTTCGAGTTTGGTCCGGTTGCTGGCTTGGAAGGCGGAGGCTCGACAGCAGCTGGCTTGGAATCCGGAGGCTTGGGCCGAACCTCGGAGGTTTGGCAAGGCCCGAGCCTTGGTTTCGGCAACCAAGGCTCAGAAACAGTGTGGATGCCTCCGAAGGGAGGAAAAGCAGGTCGGCATTACTCGTCGTTTTCGGGCCTTTCAGAGCTGAGAGCAATTGCAGGAGGAGGAGGAGGAGGAGGAGGAGGAGGAGGAGGAGGAGGAGGAGGAGGAGGAGGAGGAGGAGGAGGAGGAGGAGGAGGAGGGGGAGGAAGGAGCAGGGATTTTCTTGGTGAGAGGAACAGGGGTGTGAGACAATGGGAGGAACAGGGTAGACAGGAGGAGGACGAGGAGGAAGAGGATGAGGATGACGATGACGAGCACACTCCTATTGCCACTCCTGTGGCCCTTTCTCCCTTGGGCTCCCCTGCGCATCCTCGGCTGTTGTTAGAGCTGCCCTTAAAGCCTCGCTTGGCAGTTGGGAAGAAAAACGGATCCGAGGAGGTGGGAGAGGAGGAGGAGGAGGAGGAGGAGGAGGAGGATGACTATGGGCAGCAAACTCCTGTGACGACTCCAGCGTCTCTAGCTGTGGCTCTTTCCCCCACCAGCTCCCAGCTTTCGCCCATGTCCTCGTCTGCACACCTCACGTCCTCTGCATCCGGCCGCAGGAAAGAGGTCAGGTTCAATGTACCTGGACATGCTCCAAGGGGTGCAGGGGGACGGGGTGGTGCGGGGCCCAGGCACCGTGAAACCCAGTCGTTATCAGGATTTGAGGAGCTGACCAATGGGTGCAGAGGGATTAGAGGGGAGGCGGGGAGTGGTGGGATTGAAGGTAGTAGAGGGGAGGGGGGTTTGAGTCTTTGGGAGAGGAGGAGTGGAGGGGGGAGAGGGCAGGGGGGACTAGGTGGAGATAAGGGAAGACTTTCACCTGTTGGGATAGGGAGAGGAGAGAAGGGAAGACTTTCACCTGTTGGGATAGGGAGAGGAGAGAAGGGAAGACTTTCACCTGTTGGGATAGGGAGAGGAGAGAAGGGAGAAGAGAAGAGAGGAGATCAGGGAGAGGAAAAAAGAGGAGAGAGAGGAGAGAGGGGAGAAGAAAAGAGAGGAGAGAGAGGAGAAGAGAAGAGAGGAGAGATAGAAGAAAAGAGAGGAGAGAGGGGAGAAGAAAGGATATCAGACAAGAGTGAAGAGAAGAGAGTTGGAGCAGACGGGGCAAGGCGGGTGGCATACAAGAGTGAACGGCTCAAGAAGAGTGGGCACATCAGCAGCAGCAGCAACGGCAAAAGCAGCAGCTCGCCTTTGTCTCCTGTAGGCCTAAGTACCGACACACTTGCAAGCAATGGCGGGAGCGGGGGGAGTATCTTCGGCAAGAGCATGAGCAGGAGTAAGAGCACGAGCTATGGGGCTGGTAGCAGCAATGAGGCTGGGGCTAGTTCCGAAACACCAAGCACCAGTAGCAGCAGCACCCTTGGCGGGAGCGGCGGGGGTATCATTGTCAAGAGCATGAGCAGGAGTAAGAGCACGAGCTATGGGACCGGTGCTAGTGCCGAAATAGCAAGACCTAGCAGCAGCACCGCCATAGGGTGCGTTGGCGGGATTAACTTTAGCAACATCTTGAGCCGGAGCAGGAGCGTTAGCAGGAGCAGGAGCAGGAGCCGGAGTACGAGCATGCGCTGTGGGGATGGCAGCAGCTATGAAACTGGCGCGAGTGCCGAGATAGCAGGCACCACCAGTAACCGCAGCACCATTGGTGGGAGCGAGGGGGGTATCGTCGTCAAGAGCATGAGCAGCTACGGGGCTGGTAGCAGCAATGAGGCGGGGGCTAGTGCCGAAACACCAAGCACCAGTACCAGCAGCAGCATTGGTGGGGGCGGGGGGGGTATCATCGGCAAGAAGAGCATGAGCAGGAGTAAGAGCACGAGCTACGGGCCCCATAGCGGCGATGGGACTAGGGCCAGTGCCGAAACACCAAGCACCAGTAGCAGCAGCATCATTGGCGGGAGCGGGGGGAGTATCGTCGTCAAGAGCATGAGCAGGAGTAAGAGCATGAGCTACGGGGCCCATAGCGGCGATGGGACTAGGGCTAGTGCCGAAGCAGCAGGCACCACCAGTACCAGCAGCACCATCGGTGGGAGCGGGGGGAGTATCGTCGTCAAGAGCATGAGCAGCTACGGGGCCTATAGCGGCGATGGGACTAGGGCCAGTGCCGAAACAGCAGACACTAGCAGCACCACTGGTGGGAGGGGGGGGAGTATCGTCGTCAAGAGCATGAGCAGCTACGGGGCTGGTAGCAGCAATGAGGCAGGTGTGAGTGCCGAGACAGCAGGCACCACCAGTAGCAGCAGCACCACTGGTTGGAGCAGGGGGGGTATCGTCGTCAAGAGCACGAGCAGGAGTACGAGCATGAGCTATGGGGCTGGAAGCAGCTATGAAACTGGAGCGATTGCCGAGACAGCAGGCACCACCAGTAACAGGAGTAGCATTGGTGGGAGCGGGAGGTGTATCGTCGTCAAGAGCATGAGCAGCTACGGGGCTGGTAGCAGTGATGGGACTAGGGCCAGTGCCGCAACAGCAGACACCAGTAGCAGCACCATTGGGGGGAGCGGGGGGAGTATCGTCGGCAAGAGCATGAGCAGAAGTAAGAGCATGAGCTGTGGGGCTGATGCTGAACCAGCAGGCAACAGTAACAGATCTCCTACCATTTGCAGGTCTCCCCCCATAGCCAAATCTCCTAGCGGAATCAAATCTCCCACCCGTTGCAGATCCTCCACCATTGCCCAACCGCCCGGCAGTAGAAAATATTCCACCAGTAGCAGTTCTCCCACCAGTATCAACTCTCCCAGACTTAGCATTTCTCCCACCATTGGCCAATCCCCCACCAGTATCAAATCTCCCAGACTTTGCAGGTCTCCCACCATTGGCCAATCCCCCACCAGTATCAAATCCCCCACCAGTGTCAGATCTCCCACCGGCAGCAGATCTTTTTCAAGTAACAGATCTCCCACCAGCAGTATCACCTGGAAACCCCCCACCCACGGTATCCTCTCTAAAGACTGGGATGCTCGAAGCCCTATTAGCCCCACAGTAAGTGGGGTGTATGCTCTGAGCCCTAGAAGCCCCGCAGTAATAGGCTCCCCCACTCAAAACAGCCCCACTCTAAACATCCCCCGTCGAAGAAGCTGTTCCACCCCCAGCAGCCCTAGAGTGAGTGGAGGTGCATCGGGAGGAGGAGGAGGTGGAGGAGGGGGGGGGAAGGGACGGGCGTTGGAGGCAGGGCTGGCAATGGCTCGGCACAACGAGGCGATGAGGGTGCGACGGGCGGCTCAAGCAGATGCTGCTGCTGCTGCTGCTGCTGCTGCTGCTGCTGCTACTGGTGTTGCTGCTGCTGCTGCTGTTGCTGCTGCTGCTGCTTCTGGTGCTGCTGGTACTGCTGGTGTTTCTGATACTTCTGGCACGGCTGCTGTTGTCCCGCCTTAGAGCAAGAGGACGCTTATCAAGAGAAGCAGGCAGAGGAGGGGGGGGTAAGGGAAGGGCGTTAGAGGCAGGGCTGGCAATGGCACGGCACAGCGAGGCGATAAGGGTGCAACGAGCAGCTCAAGCAGATGCTGCTGCTGCTGCTGCTGCTGCTCCTGGTGGTGGTGGTGGTGGGTGCTGGTGTTTCGGATACTTCTCGCAAAGCTGCTGCTCCTCCTGCCCCAGAGTAAGAGGAGGCAAATCAAGAAAAGCAGGAGGAGGAGGATCAGGGAGGGGCGGGGAGTCAGAGGCAGGGGTGACAATGGTGAGGCACAACGAGGCGATGGGGGTGCGACGAGCAGCTCTAGCTGCTGCTGCTGCTTCTGCTGCTGGTGCAGCTGGTGCTGGTGGTGCTGGTGGTGCTGGCTGTGCTAGCAGTGCTGGTGGTGCTGGTGGTGCTGGTGGTGGTGCTGGTAGTGGTGGTGGTGGTGCTGCTGCTGCTGCTGCTGCTGCCCTATTTTCGAAAGGTGGAGGGATGGGCGTTGATGGAGATCAAGGCTAGGAAGGTGTGCTTCCGGTGTGTGGTGTATGACAAGGGAGACAAGGGTCGCACACACGGAGGGTCACACAAACGGCTACCAAGGGTCACATGGCTGACAAGGGTCACATGGCTGACAAGGGTCACATGGCTGACAAGGGTCGCACGCACGGCTGATGAGGGTCACATGGCTGACAAGGGTCACATGGCTGACAAGGCAAGACTGCACTCGGGAAATGTAAAATTTTAAAGTGTTACACTTTTAAAATTGCATATTGTGAACGCGAACCTGCTTGTAATGCAATTTTTGGCATCGTCGAAGCGCGCTATTCGCCCTTCTCCGACTATATAATGTGGTTGGAGGTCATTCTTCCCCCACCCATGTCTTTTCATTCTTCACAGCTCAAGTCCAATTGAGTTCCCATCCCGATTTTTTCGCTCCGCCACTCTGGCGAAATTGAAAACTCTCCCTCGCGGGCAAGCTCCCTCTAGCCTCTTTGCCGATATTCTCATAACAACACCCTCGCTCCCATAACCTAGTTGCCATGGCTCCCAACACCCCCGCCAACAATTCTCCTGCCAAGACCTCGAATATTTCGGAGCCCGACAATCACGCCCGCGGAATTGCGGGTGATCGCAGCAACAAGCGTCGGGCAGACGAGGGCGAGGTTGCCCCCTCTGCCCTCGAGCTGCTGCTGCGCAGTGGCGAGGTCAACCCTGTTGACCCCAAGGAGCCACACGCCAACCAGCAGGAGGAGCCGCAAGTAGCGGCTGGCGCTCCACCCGCTGACGTCAGCGTCGAGAAAGCGCCAAACCGACGGGCGGGCTCCTCGCATCACAACAAGCAAGGCCGCAGGGCAGCCTCGTCCAGCGCACCAGAACCTGCCGCCCTCGCCTTGACCGCCGACCAAGTCCATGCGCTGTTGGCACTGTTACAGCAGCAAACGCCCGCGGTTACAGCAGTTGCGACTACGATTTCTACTTCGACTAAAAATAAAGAAACAAAAAAGGAGTCAACGTGCCACGCTCGGTCCCCCAAGGTCGCCCGCACCGATAAGGAAGCCGTCGCTGCAGCCCCAGACCAGGCCAACAACGACAGTGACTCCGAAGACGAGGTTGGTGAGGCTCCCGTGTTAAATTATATATATGTTATATAGTTGGTAGGCTTGGTAGGTGTTACTGAAACCTGCTGTAGAGGGTACAACTCCCCTCCTTGTATCCCTCTCTCTTCTATTCTCGATCTCTTTTCTCTCGTCAACTTTCTCCTAGCTAAACCCTCTCGCCATTTTCATGGCTTCCTAGCTACCTAGCTCTCGTGACATCCCGCACACAATATTTTTTTCGCATCCATCGAGCATCTCCCACCCCTTCCTTCCTCTAACCCAACCATCCCGGCCTCTTCCTTCGCCAACGGCAGGGTCCACGAACAAGCAGAGATCCTGGAAGCCATGCGTGCGTACCTGAAGCATGCAAAGCACAAGGTGCGCGACGGCAACAACTCGGGCGCGCTCAAATATTTCTATGTGCGTACGCGCTTCTCGCCAAGAGCTTCGAGCCTTTTTAAGTCGACGACGCCTCTAACTTCAAGACGGCGCATCGATTCAAGCTATATCAGGAGACGAGTGTTCTCACTTCATGCCCCTTCAAGCTGGCGGTCACCGACGTGGCGGCCATGAAACGCTCACAAGAGGCCTATGGTCCTAGCAACCCCGTTGGAGGCCGCGACCCTATGCATTTCGGAGGGAAGTTCGGCCCACCACCAAGCAGCGACCAGCAGTGTTTCCGAGGAGCCTGTTCCGCTGTGGCCAGCCGGGCAATACGGCTAACAACTGCTCAGCCAACGGGCACGGACCCCAAGGGCCCGCACCGGTGGTGTGA